AAAAGCGCTATATAAGTGTAAGCAATTATTATTATTATTATTATTATTATTATTATTATTAATATTATTATTAATATTATTATTATTATTATCCAGTAATCTCATCAAGACGTTTTTGAAAGTTCCTCAGAAATGGGTTTAAACAGCATTACATGGTCATTTTTACATTTAGAAAAAAGTGCTCCCTTTTCTCAGTCTTAAATAGTGTTTATCATGACTGTTTCAAAAACATCACTGTTTTTAATATAGTAATAATTTACCACAGTGACATCAATTCTGGATATAATTCTCAAGTAACATCATCTATGCTTATGTTGTTTACTTTTAATGTTCTAAATAATCAATATTCAACACATTCAATTACTCCATAATTTCGTTTTAAAGTCAAACAGTTCCCTGTACATCTTTCTTCTACACATTAAAGATATAGAGCTACTGTGTGGTCCTTCAAGACCGCGGGATGTTCTATTTTTGGTCTTCCTTAGATCTTACTTAACCTAACCTAAAAATTAGTTGTCTAACTGACAAAAAAATAATACTTACTCTATTTTTGTGTTGCCAATCTGACCAATATAAAATAAAAAACTGCAGCCCACTATGATCTGAGTTGGGTGTTCCTATGTCCATATCAGCCTTTTCCTGTCCTTAAAAGGGTTACAGCACTGAACATAATTATTATAGTAATTATATTTAGTACCAATGCATCATACCTCTATTACATGCAAGGCTCTGGAAATAATCATTTGAACTAAACTACTGTATAAGATTAGAAATACGATTCTAAGGTGTAGTAAATACAGAGTTAAAAAAGTCTTCAAACAAGCAATAGCAGTAAGCGATACAGAATTTATGATATGGTATATTAAGATTTCATTAAGTCCTTTGATAAAATTCCTGATAAAAGATTAATTATGAAATTACAGGGAGAAGACATTCCTGGTAATATGTGTACTTGTGTTAAAATGTATTTAATGGACAGAAATCAGAGGTGAATGTTCAATTTGGAGTGATGTGTTTAGTGCAGTACTGCAGGGATCTCTATTAGGAGCCATATCAATGAACTCAACTCTGGTACAGTTATTAAACTATTGCACTTGCAGATGATGCCAGAATAGGATCGAATTAACAATCACAACAGAAGCTCCAAAAGAATTGTAAAAAGACTTTAAATTACGAACCAGACAAAACCATGAAAGATGACATTTCATGTAGATAAGCGTAGTGCGTGTGACATACAGTACACTATGAAAACTGAATGGGAATCCAGGCTTTAAGAGGCTTCTCATGAAAAAGACCTACTCTAGGTGTTTATGTAGACATTGCCGTCTTTTTGACCAGGAAACGATAGAAAAATGTAAACAAGTTTAGAATATGGAACAGTTGTTACATTAGTTGTGTACAATGCAATCGTAAAACCTCATTTAGAATATCACGTGCAGGTTTGGTTATTGTTTTACAAAAAAGATATTGGTGCTCTGGAATCAGTCTAGAAATGAGCTACCAGATATATTTCCCAGGCTTAAAGGAATGCCCTACACTGACAGGCTAAAAGAACTGATCTTCTAATCTCACACACAGAAGAAAAGGGTCCCTATTAGAAAATTCCAAAATCGCCAAAGCAAAACCATTGGACTTCTTTTGAATCGACAGTATGATATGAACCGGAAGATATAAACAGAAATTACAGAGATGAGCATTTAAAACTGCGAAGTTGCGTAGCCGTGTTATTGAAGCTGATACTTTGCTTCTATCAAGAAATTGCTGGATTAGATCCTTGGATTATTTAACTAAAAACCAAATGAGCTAATGATCCCTAATGTCCTCTCATTTGTAACGCGTTCTTATGGTCTTTTGTATCTTTCTTTGTCTGCGTGAGTGCCGGTACACATATCTGCCCGACTCTATAGTCCCAGTGTTCAAGGGGTGAAGAGTTATCTTCAAACCACAAATTTGGGTTTGACTCGGACGGTTGGCTACGTTAAAGGCACAATTTCTATTTTCAGTGTGTTGGAACTGAATATGACACATTGAGGGAGAGATCGAGAGAGAGAATTCCAATTACTCAGCTGTAATGGTCTGCATTTCTCAGGCCCATTTCTATAACTGTCTCCCTAATAATTGTTAAATTTATGTCACGTATGCTGAATACTGTTTATCTACCACAATTATTTTCGCTCTCTGTACTGTTCATTTTCTCTGATGAGTTTGGTTTATTTGCTTTTTGTGTTCCACTGAAATTATCTTGTCCTGAAAAAGGATGGAAGGAAACTGTTCTTGTAGTTAGAGTATGTAAAACCTCAACAGTTTCTATAGGGGATGTCTTTCATCCAAGCTGGAACACTGTAGTGCAAGCCTGTAGGCATGATAAAGTTTTAGCAACCTATTACCTAAAATGAAAGTAATCATTTTCAATCAGTCAGTGATAAAAATGTTTTATGTGGTAATCCCCATAAATAATAATCCATTAAATCATCAATTTTTATCTAATTCTTCATTTTTTTTTTATTTTTTAAGACTATGAG